CGGGGTGGTGGTTCCCCTATTCAAAAAGGGGGACCGTAGAGTGTGTTCCAACTACAGGGAAATCACGCTCTTAAGCCTCCCTGGTAAGGTCTATTCGGGGGTTCTGGAGAGGAGGGTCCGTCGGATAGTCGAACCTCGGATTCAGGAGGAACAGTGCGGTTTTCATCCTGACGGGGAACACTGGACCAGCTCTACACTCTCAGCAGGGTCCTGGAGGGTGCGTGGGAGTTTGCCCAACCAGTCTACATGTGCTTTGTGGACTTGGAGAAGGCGTTCGACCGCGTCCCTCGGGGGGCCCTGTGGGGGGTACTCTGGGAGTATGGGGTACCGGGCCCTTTGATACGGGCTGTTAGGTCCCTGTATGACCGGTGTCAGAGCCTGGTCCGCATCGCCGGCAGTAAGTCGGGCTTGTTCCCTGTGAGAGTTGGACTCTGCCAATGTTGCCCTTTGTCACCGATTCTGTTCATAACTTTTATGGACAGAATTTCTAGGCGCAGCCTAGGTGTTGAGGGGATCCGTTTTGGTGGCCTTAGGATTGCGTCTCTGCTTTTTGCAGATGATGTGGTCTTATTGGCTTCATCAGATCATGATCTACAGCTTTCGCTGGAGCGGTTCGCAGCCGAATGCGATGCGGCCGGGATGAAGATCAGTTCCTCCAAATCCGAGGCCATGGTCTTGAGCCGGAAAAGGGTAGAGTACCCTCTCCGGGTCAGGGAGGAGGTCCTACCCCAAGTGGAGGAGTTCAAGTATCTTGGGGTCTTGTTCACGAATGAGGGAAAAATGGAGCGTGAGATCGATAGGCGGATAGGTGCAGCGTCTGCAGTGAAGCAGGCGCTGTACAGGTCTGTCGTGGTGAAGAGAGAGCTGAGTCAAAAGGTGAAGCTCTCAATTTACCCATCGGTCTACGTTCCCACCCTCATCTATGGTCACGAGCTTTGGGTTGTGACCGAAAGAATGAGATCTCGGATACAAGCGGCCGAAATGAGTTTTCTCCGCAGGGTGTCTGGGCTCTCCCTTAGAGACAGGGTGAGAAGCTCGATCATCCGGGAGGGACTCGGAGTAGAGCCGCTGCTTCTCCACGTCGAGAGGAGCCAGTTGAGGTGGCTTGGGCATCTGTTTAGGATGCCTTCTGGACGCCTCCCTGGTGAGGTGTTCCGGACACGTCCCACCGGAAGGAGGCCCAGAGGAAGACCCAGGACACGCTAGAGGGACTATGTTTCTCGGCTGGCCTGGGAACGCCTCGGGATTCCCCCGGAAGAGCTGGCCCAAGTGGCTGGGGAGAGGGAAGTCTGGGCCTCCCTACTTAGGCTGCTACCCCCGCGACCCGACCCCGGATAAGCAGAAGAAAATGGATGGATGGATGGTCAGTAAACTGACCAGCTGGAGCCCTGCTTTAACGAGCACAAAACAAATAATATAAGTGTTGTAGAAAGACAAAATGCCAAGTAGTGTTAGCAACAAAACATAACTGATCCAAGTAGTAATGAATAGTAACCTAAGCAAGACAAAAATATACAAAAAAATGAATCTAGACAAATATGTAAAAAAAATCTAATTACTGTACAATATATATCCATCCATCCATTTTCTTTACCCATTTATTCCATTTTGGGTCACGGGGGTCACTGGTGCCCATGTCCAGCAATAACTGTGCGAGGGGCGGGGGACATCCTGGATGGGTCGCAAGTCTATCACAGGGACACATAGAGACACACGAGACAAATAACCATTCACTTTCTCACTCACAACCTAAGGACAATTTAGAGTTACCAATCAGCCTAACATGCATGTTTTTGGTCTGTGGGAGGAAACCGGAGTA